TTCTTTTTCTTTCGTCTTGTTTCACGTAATCCAGGCTGGCCTCAGACTTGGAAAACTCCTATTTCAGCCTCCTTTGTGCTAGGATTACCAGTGTGCCCCATCATGCCCAGCTAAACCCACTCTGAGTAACTAATGTTAATTTCCTTTTTTGTTTATGTTTATAATGTACAGTATGAATTTTAGATAAAAATCTTAATACAGAGAAAACTAATAAGCTTTACTCCCCAAACCATCAAAGTAACTTGCAAAGAAATAATCCCATAAAGGGACTGCTTTCTCACCTTACAGTGGAGACAAAGTTTCCTGGGTCAAGGTACAGAGATCATCTTAGTGTCCCATTGACCCAAACTCACAGAGAAGAGACAGCAGAGCCAGATACTACTTGAATACCTAGAATCCCAGCAATTGTGCCTACCCATTTAAGGGATGGCATGTGCAACCTTTACTAGCATCTCTATCAGTGGGCAGAGCCCCTGGTAGATTGGGACAGTAGCAAAGACCTTGTAAATCAGTTATTGTCTGGGACCATGTGTGAGGGTACTCCTCAGACTGTGACACAGGAAGGCAAACAATGGTGGAAAACATGCTATTGAAGTCCAGAGACTACTACTTGTCTCCTGTAGGACCAGAGGTCCTCAGACCCAAAGCTTTTCAGAGCCTGGTGTCCCATACTGTGCCCTCCCTGCCTGCACTTTTTTCTGCTCTCTGATCTGCTCAGCAGCCTTTCAACAGCCTCAAGAACAGGATGAGAGGTTGCTGGGAGCCCAGAGGACTTTCAGGCAGTTTTATGATGTCATTGCAGACACAGAGCAGATCCGGGAGACTCTGAGGAGAGGACTCGAGATCAACAGCAAGCCTGTTCTTCCACCAATCAACCCTCAGCGGCAGAATGGCCTCACCCATGACCGGACCCCGTAAGTGCCCCAGTGTTCCACGGCTGGGACAAGAGGATTTTTTCCCCCTAAGGGGCTGTCCTTGTAGATCACATGAGAGAGAACAATGCCCACAGTCCTTGTTGAATGGACCCAGGGTCTCTGGGTTTAAGAGCAGTCATGGTCTGAAGAACATAGACCTATGGGTTGTAGGAAAGTACCTCAAAGGAGACTCAGCAGACCATGACAGTAAACAGCAGTAAATATTTACATGGATCGTGTGAACAGAAGGGAGCCCAGGTTGGGGCAAAATCTGACTGGGGGCCTCCCAGCCTTGTGGGAGCCATTGTGCTGAGCACAGTTCCCTCCTTATCTCTCCCTAGGCCAGAGTTGCCCTTCCTTCCTTCCTGGAGCCTGGTCTCCGGCTGATAGCTGCAACCCCAGGGACCTCCCTGTCTGGCCAGCCCTGTATTGCATGCCTGCTGCTGAGGCCCTTTTTCCTGCCTGCCTTTCCTCCCTGGGGCCCAAAGAAGGGAAGGGAAGTTCTTTGCAGACCTTTGTTGCCTAAGGGCCCTGATAATCCTTAGGAGAGACTGGCCAGCCCTGGAGGTCAGATCTGCTTCCTGCCCACCTCTCTTCTCTAATAGGAGGCAAGTGGTACGTAGGATTGGAACTGGGCACCCTTTCTTCTTGCCTTGTCTTGGGTCAGGTCTAGAGAATAGTTGCTGGCAAGGGATGCCTAGGCCCTGGCAACTCAGCAGGAACCTTGCCTGCCAGGGAGGAAGTTGCTGTACATTGAATGTAAAGGGAGCTTGGCTAATCCTGCAAGACTAGGGTAATCCACCCACCTTCTAAGAAGTCTTTATGGCATGCTTGCTGAGTGGCATCCTCAAGCCCAGGGAGATATCTAAGGTGCACAGGGTCTTCCTTTCCGGAGTGCATGAATGAAAACAGTGAACTGTTAATGGCATAAGTCTGGCTGCACATGCAGTTTGTTGGAAATGACCACAGCTTTGGAGTCAAGCTCCAGTTGCTGATTCATGATCCCCAGAAACAACAGTGATGCAGCACATGATTGAAAAGACAGCATGGGGGCTGGAGAGATGGCTCGGTGGTTAAGAGCGCATGCTGCTTAACAGAGGACTGGAGTTCAATTCCCAGTACCCATGTCAGGTGGCTTACAACTGCTTGAAACTCCAGCTCAGTGAGCTTCCGAGGCCACTGGCCTCTCTCTCTCTCTCTCTCTCTCTCTCTCTCTCTCTCTCTCTCTCGCTCTCTCTCTCACACACACACACACACACACACAATAAAAATATTTTTTTATCAGGAGTAGTTAGGGAGGCAGCTTGGAGGAGGAGGAAGACAAAGGGAATGCACCTATAACTGTAAGCAGCCTGGGAAGCTGCTAAAGGGATTTAGAGGAAGAGAAGCCTGACTGGTTGACATTGAGGACACAGTCTAGGAGCAGATCATAGTGTAGGGAGAGTTCCTCTGGGCACACTTCTGTCCAGTGTGGCTTACCTTGTGAACCTGCCATCCAGAAGCCAGAACTGAGTTTTCTAGCAAGCTCATGGAGAGGCCTACACTGCCACACAGAACAGCCTTCAGCTGCTAGCTGGTGTGTTTCTCCAGCCAGCTGGCCTGAAGTTATGGGCTCCTTGAGCCACCTGGGTCTTGCCCTGGCAGTAGCAGATGTTCAAGCTGGGTTATAGGGCATCTGGAAGCTCTCCACTTGCAGTCTGGACCCTGACCCAGGACCACACTCCTCCCCTGGCCCTGAGCATGGCTTTTTGCTCTGGGCCTCTTTGGCACTGCTGGTGGGTCAGAAGAACTAGTAGTCCAGCAGCCTCAAGCAGATTGCCCCAAATGTGGAAACTGTCACCTTCCAGATGCACTCTCATCTCTTCAAAGCCAGGGTTTGTGGCACAGGGGAAGGGCTCCTGCAGAAATGCCCCTCGTTGACCCTGTTTGATCTCTCACTCTCTGTCTTGGCTGTCTCGCTACTGTGCTTCTAGACACTGCAAGGGGCACAAGCTCTCGCTTCCTATAAATACCACAACTGGGCAATGAGGCAGCAGGTCTGGGCACATGGCAGAGAGACTACACCCTTTACCTCACCCTTTGCCCTCCATTGGCTGAAATACAGAGATGGGTGGGAATAGATCAAAGGAGTCATCTCCCCTGTTCAAGTGCCCAATCAAGTCCCCAGAGTGCTGGAATCTGATTTCTGGAGGGGTCAGAACATCTCTGAGATTCTTGATGCTGGTTACCAATTTGTTAACAACCAGTTAAACAATGGTTTCTCCTCCCCTCCCTTGCCAAGACGATTCTCCAGCATACCCTCAGGTCTCCCAGAATCTCGTTTTCTTTTGTCTCAGGATTGACAAGGACTGACTTAGTTGAGACCAGCAAACATAATTGTAATATCTGTGCTGCCCACTCTGGGACCTGACCCTCTTTCAGACACACCATAAAGATCATGATGGAGAAAGCCGACCCAAAATGTGCTGGCCACCAATGTTTACTCTTTTCCCTTTGGGAAACAGCCATCACAGCATGGGCCCTGTCTTGTTTGCCTGTCCAGTTTTCCCTTAGTCAGGGCTTTGGGGCTAGGCAGCCCTGATGCATAGTCTTTGTGGGGCTGGATATGGTCTGAGGTGACTACAGAGATGGATTGGATTAGAACAGCTCATCAGACCTGGGAATCAGCAGCTGGGTTCTGGCCTATTTGGGGAATTGGGCACTTGCCAATTTCATACGTCCACAGTGGCCAACACTTGATACCAATATTAATTTAATTCGTCCTTGTAGCCACTGTATGAAGTAGTCTTATATATTTGCCTTTTACAGAAGAAAAAAACTGAGCTGTAAGGAAGCTAATAAGTAGCTCAGAGCAATCATTTTTGTTTGTTTTTTTTTTTTGTCTGTTTGAGACAGGGTCTCCCTGTAGCCCCAACTGTCCTGAAACTCACCATGTAGACCAGGCTGGCCTTGAACTCACAGAGATCTGCCTGCCTCAGCCTCCCGAGTGCTGGGATTAAAGGCGTGTGCCACCATGCCCGATGTTGTTTTGTTTTTAAAACAGCATCTTCCTATAGCCCCAGCTGGACCTGGAACTCACTTTGTATACCAGGCTGCCCTTGATCTCATAGAGATCAACCTGCCTCTGCCTCCCAAGTGCTGGAATTAAAGGTTTGTGCCAGGACGCCCAGCTTAGGGCAAGCTTAACCATGTCTTACTTGCCCTATGCTCAGATACCCTATGAGGGTGATACAGACCATGGCCCTGAACCTCCCTAGTGGAACTCATGGAGCTAGTTGTAGTGTGACATGACACAAGCTCACATGACACCAAGGACAAGTGAGGTTCCAGGTTAGATTACTGTGCTTATTTAAATCTAAGGAGGACCTCTCATTAGCCACAGTGTTTCCAAATTCCAGAAATAATAAGCTGTGTTATAACTGGCTCATTTATAGCAAAATTACTTTTTGACATGGGCCTTGTTTTCCTCTTGTTCAGAAACAGACATAACCCTATCTCTAGCCCATCCACCACCTCAAGGCCAGGGGATTTCTTTCTTTCTGGGGGCCATATTTCCCACTTCCCAGAAAGGCAGCCCCTCTGGGTAACCTGCTCTTTTCCCACTCCCTGTTGCCTGCCCTCCTCCCACTGCCTTCCTGGAAGGAGAGTCCTTGGCCCTCTTTGGGGCTTCTTCAGCATTTCACAACCCTTGCATTCCAGCCATGAAATTTGTATCTGGCTTTTCCCAAGATGATCAGTTGAGAAAAGCCTCCTTCGGCTTGCTGGCGCCTCCCTTCCCACTGCCTGCTCGGGTGAGTTTGGGAAGCTACCCTTTGTGCCACATAAGGACAGCTTGGCCTAGAGTCATGTCTGCCAGTATTTGTAGGGATTTGGGGTGGGAGTCACTGGACATCATCTTTGTCTGAGGTGCCAGGTCAGCCAGAATCTGGCAGTAGCTCCCCAGCCTCTCCATGGTGATGGCAACGGTAACAAGAGGACGTGTGGTCAGGTGCATGCTTGGGGAGGGTTTCCATAAACTGTTCCCCTGGTGCCAGGAACCCACATCAGTATTGTAGAGCCTCTTCTTCCCCTGGCCAGTAACTCGCTGATAAAGGAAGGGGCCTTTCAGGGGCTCTCTGCTCTGGGTCTTACACTCTCCCAAAGAGGGGCAGGCCGTGTGTGTGTGTGTGTGTGTGTGTGTGTGTGTGTGTGTGTATGTGTACACATTTGTGTTGGAGAGGCAAGGCTCCTGGAGGAGGAGCCGGCAGAGAGCAAAGACCATTTCTGCTCAGCCAAGTTTCTTATTCTTCTAGAATAATAGCAGCAACTTACAAAGCTGCTGCCTTTTCCTGCCTTCGTTTCCTGGAGAATTAAGGTTTCATAGCATGAATTCTCTTGTTGTGACACCTTCTAAACACACTTCTCCCTCCTTCCCTTCCTTCCTTTTTTTTTCTTTAGATAGGATCACACTCTGTATGTAGCACACGATAGTGTGGAACTCAATGTAGCCCAGTAGCCCAGCCTGGCCTTGAACTCATGGCAAGTCTCCAGCCTCCCAAGTACTGAGATTACAGGTATGAGCCACCATGCCTGGCTCTTCTCTTTACTTTTTTTTCCAGACAGGATCTCATTGTGAATCCCTGGCTGGCCTGGAACACTCTGTATGAATAATTTGTAACCTCGCCAGGGAGTTGTCCTTTAGAGAAAACTGTATTTTGTTTTGCTCAGCCTATGAGGTCCATGAAGAATAATTAGAAGAAGAAACTGTCTGGTTTTCATCCACCCTGCCAGTGAATTGGGGTGAAGGAAGGTGAGTTTTCATCTGGGAAGGCCACTTTGCACACAGGGCAGATTTGGGGGACCCTGTTCTCAGGGCCTCATGTTGTCAGGGCGGTGACCAGCTTGGAGCCTCTCTGTCATCTTGGCCTCACTCACCATTCCCACACTGGTAAAGTACAGTCATTTGCACTAGAAAGAGCACCCAGAAAGAAGTAACCCTTGAGACCCTGGCCAGGCTCCCT